GCAGAGACTGTTGAGGCTTTTAAATCTTTGCTGAAGACCCATTTATTTTCTTTGGCTTATGTTTAAGATTTGGAGGTTCGGCCATGACATCACCTTCACCATGCTTCACACAGCAGTTCTTTCTTTTTCCACACTTTGGTCTTTGGTCTTTCCATCACTTTGATAACGATTAATCTTGGTCTCATCAGTCCATAAGATTGTCTTATAGAACTTTTGCAGCTCATCTCTGTACTTATTTACAAATTTCAATCTGTCCTTCTGACTCTTCTTACTGATGAGTGGTTTGTATCTCTGTGTATGTCTATATTTCTGCTCTCTGAGTCATCAAACAGTGGACTGAGATCCCTTCACCCCTGAACTGTGGAGGTTTTTGGTGATGTCACTTACTGAGGTTTTGTTTTTTTCTTCACAGCTCTCACAATATTTCTGTCATCAACTACTGTAGTTTTCCTTGGCCGACCTGTTGGATGTCTGCTGCTCAGTTCACCTGTAGTTTCTGTCTTATTCAGGACATTTCAAATTGTTCTGCTTGATATGTCCAATGTTTGTCCAATGGCTCTGATTGATTTTCCTTCTTTTCTCAGCTTTTCTCCTATAGACTCCTCTGGTTTTCATGTTTTTTATTTTTACAAGAAAAACCTACTTTATAGGTTTAAACCCAGGCCAAACAGTAGACTAGCCATAAGAAACACCTGTCAGTCACATGTTCCAATAGTTTTGCTCACTTGAAAAARGGGTGGGATCAGACAAAGGGTGGTATGTTCTAACACATGTACCTGTAAATACCAGGAAATAAAAGCTGACATGAACGCTTGTCTCATCTTTTGTTCTTAAACCCAAATGTCCTCAGTGAACAACAAAAACAAGAGAATTTGACTTGTTCCAACACTTTTGAAAGGGACTGTATGTTCCCCTGTTCAATGCCTGAACTGTTGCTCTGTATTTTTTTTTCAAGAAGAAGCCAAGCATCTTTTATGACTTTCATTATGAACCCTGGTACACTACATACAAAGGAAACATGGGGAAGAAAGGGATGACCTTTYTGTTAACTAACAACAAAGATTAAAGTGCTTAACAAACCTGACAAAACACAGAGGTGAGTTCCTCTTCAATAAATTAGTAAAACAGGGAAGGAGTGTTTGACATTTTTTAATGATTAAAAAAATACCTGTTGTCATGACAACTCCTGCCAAGACTTTCCTCCGAGCGTGTGGGGATGTGAATTTATCCGTCAGTTGGCTGAACTTATCAATCACCAAATGAGAAACAGCGTCTGCCAAGACCTGAGCAGAATGGAGGAATAATGTCAAACAAAAGAACTTAAAACAAATTAAACAACTAAAAGACAGACATTCCATGATACCTTGCTTTTTAAACGAATAAGAAATTTGAATTATACTGTATTTTTACCTGTTATATTTAACTGTTCTTAAAATCCCGGATAAGAGCCAGCTTTCAGTATTTTAAATATCAGTTTTATTTCCTGTCGTTCCAATAAATTTCCATTGATTCCCATAAGAAATGTCCAACTTTGTTTTTCAAATACTGTACTTAATGCTGGTTTGATTTACTTGTGTTTCAGAGAATCCTAGTAGGTGGATGTAATGGTTTTCATGAGATTTTATCAAGATTCTAATGCTTCTGTAGATACCACACATCTGTGTTTAATCTTGAGTTAGCAGTTATCAATTAGCATTAGTTCCCACAAATTTTCTTACCTGTTTAGTAGTTTAATGTTTGCAAAGTTAATGTTTWAGTTAGCAGATTAACAATGAGAGAAGCTAACGTTTTCTTTAGCTGTGCCCYCCACTGTTTAAAACMGACACATTACTGCATGAAATATTTGCTTCAGGAGTTGCAAGTTGTGACAAAAAGTAAAAAGTAATGACTGAGTAATAAACACATTTAAAAAGAAATGAAAATCTGGAAAAGTTCTGCTCATCTCTGTAGAATTTCAATCATGAATTCTTTCCCGGTGTGAATGACAGGCAGCTTAAATCAGTCAGGTGGTCTGCTTCACCGCTCCCCGACTCACAAACAGTGACATTAAAAAGGAAGTTTAATGAATAACGGTGTTTGAAACCATCGGGGTGATAGCAATTAAGATAGCAGCTTTGTTATCAGCGTACAGGGATTAGTTTACAGGCAGGGATTATTTTATGTGTTGGTAGAACACCAGCCTCTCAACTGAAATCACTTTTAACCAGACGTTGTCATGTTGGTCGCAGAAATGACATTTGTAGAAGAAAATTGCTTTAAAGTGAAGTTGTTTATGACAGGATCTGTGGGTTTTGGATGTTTTGATGGTAGGTTTGATGTGTGTTTGGTTTTCAGTTTCTTCAGGGTCCTCACCCTTAGTTTAGCCATTCCCCTGCCCACCTGTGCCTGTTCCTTGTTGTCCTCRCCAGGTATTTGTTGTTGTCCTCATCATCATTGTTCTTTGTGTCTCACTGGTACATCATGCCATAAAGCCTGTCTGTGTTTGCCAGATTTTGTTAAAGTTTTAATGTAAGTGCTTTTAGAGTTTTCTGTTAAAGGGACAATATCATGTAAAATCAACTTTTTTGAGTTTTATATCATGTTATAATGTTATACGCTCATAAAAAAAACATGCCCAAAGCCTTGCTTTGACTCATTCATGCATGTTTGAGAAATCCTGCAGCGTTTTTAGGAAGCAATGCAGAGGAGCAAAACGACAGGTGGGGACCAGAAACACCTTTTGGTACCAGAAACACCTTTTGGTACCAGAAACACCTTTTGGGACCAGAAACACCTTTTGGTACCAGAAACACCCCTGGGACGTGTCTCCAAGC